CTTATATAAAATGCATAAAATTAAATTTGAATTAACTTTCTCATTGTATCAATTACCTGTCCTTTGGAGCTATGAAAAGCATATGAACATACCAAGTAATTTTCAAAACCTGTATGCTAACGTATAAGCAATTTACTTATTTAACTGTGAAAGATCTGGTTAGTATTTAATCCTCCACTAAGTTTGCTATATTGTGACGATAAACTGATTAACATCACAGCAATCGATTGCATATATTTACAAAATAATTGCTCTAATAAATTATATTGTAAGTCACCTTTTTCTGCTGGCAGCCATAGTTAAGCTTGACTTTGAACAAAATTATTCATAAATAATTGATTTTATGGAAATTTTTCAAAATGAGTTGACAATATCCATTCTTATTCATATTGGTCAAGGTTTTCTTCAATAAAATGGTAACTTTCAAATACGAGTATGCAAGAATAAACTTAGCTTGAAATAAGAGATTGAGGCCAGGTCCTACCCTACCTGATCTTCACATCGCAGTGGAGAACTTCATTCCTTCCTGGCGGGTTTGTAACCATTATCTTCCACAGAATCTTGCGCTTAAATACTTCAAGGCAGAGACGTGAACCGGATAATTTTTTTTTTTTTGTTTTGAAACCAAGTTATAGTCATTTGCATTGTCATCTGGTTCTGATCTAAGTTTCAAGTCTCTGAGACAACAGGAAAGTGGGTCGAGAATTGATTGCAAGATTTGACCCAAACAAACATATTTGCATACATACAGAGAGCGTTAAATAAAAGCTTGCAAAAAAGCCATTTCTCAGTTTTCTCAGGTTGGCGATTTTGAGCGTTTTTTTTTAATTTTGAGTTGGTGGTTGCAGAGCAGCATTTAAGAAAATTAAAATTTATTTAAATGCAAATATTTATATGTTCAAAACATCCTTCAGGCACTTTCGAGATCCTAGAATCTGAATCTGCAATTTATTTCAACCACTGGGTGCGCTTTGATGCAAAGAACATGGACGCAACATGAAGGAAAAGTGCAAACATTGTTTCTCAACAATGTTTCTAGATAATGCTTCTTCATATATTTTTGCACCAAGCGCACCCAGCGGAAAAATTCTAGGTTTAGATTTCTTGGAACCCGAACTCTTTTGAACGTATAAATATTTGAATTTAAATCCATTTTACTTGTTCAAAATGCTTCTGAGCGACCATCAACTCAAATTTGGAAAAACACTTAAAATATTCAACATGGGAAAACTGAGAAATTACTTTCAGAAAAACTTGGTTTCATCAAATCCCTAGCCCACAATTTGGTCGAAACGAATATTAAATCTTAAATCTTAAAAAAAGTTGTTCGGTTTTCGTTTCGGATCAAGCGTTCGTGTACAACGAGACAGGACGTAACTTCTCACTTGCCTTTCCAATTTCAAAATTATGACTCTCAACCGAGAGGCACTCGTTCACATCCAGGTCCAATCGCTTGGCATCCATTCACAACTTGAAAAAAGGATGAGCAGGCGCAGTCTCTTTGAAGCACATGGCCTTGGTGGTCGTAAAACAAACTCGACCACGAAACGCAATCTCTAAGTAAAATGAGTTTTCTAGATATATGTAACTTGAACCGCGAATCTGCTATAATTACATACATACGCCCCATATACAAATATCTATGCCATCCAATAGGTGAACGAAGTAATTTTTTATCATAACTTAATAACTCCTCAACCAAATTTTAAATGCTCTATCTGTTGTAATAGCCTAAATACGTAAACCTAGTCTTCAAAGCTTTTTTTAAAAAAGGTAATCAACTGCATAGTATTTTTAAGCACATTTAACCCTTTTAGGGGATATGTTGCTTATAGGCAACATTGAAATTTTCATTTATAAATCTAGTCTTTTGAATTTTTTTCTAACGGTATATATCAAATGATACTCTAGAATGTTGTCAAAGCTAAAAGCTTAGCCGCAAGTCATAATTATGGAAGCAATTGGTTTTCAGCATATTCGTTGTGACTACTTGTGCGCAGCATAAATGTTGCTAAAAGTGGTTCTGCAACATTTAAAAAAAAAAATACACATATTAAATTATATTTTTGTTGAAATAAAGAGTTTATGTTTAAAAATATAATAAAGAAAATTAAATAAAAACATCAAAGATTAAAATATATTTGCGGTTTTTGTTAGAAAATTTTATAAACATTTATAAACAACATTCTATAATGGTCAAAGAAAAAATCTTAGACGTCAAAATTCTTTACCAGTTCATATTTGAGGATTCAAACAAGTTTTTGCACCATTTTAATTCGGTTCTCAGAGGGTTAAAATACCGCACAATTATGTTTTCAAATTTTATTAGAAAGATCCACTAATAGTAAAAAGTACAAGCATGCAAAGGTTTAAATTTTGTTTAATCATTTCATCTAGCCTCCCTCATTAAGGATTGATTTTTTATAAAAAAAAAAAATATAAACAACTTCCGCCTTTCGTTGACAGCTTTATAATGCACCGATGCTTCACTTTCCGTTTATAATGCCGCCGATTGAACTTTCTGAAAACAATTATTCCCTGCCAATCGCATGTCAGTAAATGTCATTGCATGTCTATTAGAAATTTGTTTCCATATTTAAAATTTGTTTAAATGCGATCACGCGTACGGTTAACACAATTAACACAATTCCAATTACATAGCTAGAATGGCACGCAAGACGAACGCCAATTTATCCTTACCCAAGCGACATTTTCAAACATAAGCGAAACACGAAATCAAATCTTTTTTGAGCGAAACTAATCGCAGGAGACTGCGCGCCTCGAGCAGAGAAAAGAGAAAACATTCACACAATGTGACATTCTTTATAAACAGCGACTAAAATAACATCGAGGAGTAAAGACGAAATATGAAATATGGTAAATTCCAATTTGTATACAATAGGGTGGTACTTAAATGTAGGGAGCAAATTTTTACACCAGATTTCCTTAGCCTCAACCCCTTCGTCAATGCCACTATAGTCGAAGACATCACATAAAAATTTGGTCCCGATTGGAGACGGTTAAGGCGTGTCGCACAGGGGTCAAAGCTAAGATTACCCTATGACGACGTCTTAATCGACTTCAATCGGAACTAAAATTTTATATGTGATATCCTCGACTTAAGTAGCGATTTTGGGCATTAAATGAAAAAACATATTTGTAATTTTGTTGTCTTTTGCGACACGCCTTAACCGTACCAAAATCACTATGGCCCTGGAACCCAACTGAGTATTTTATCGAAACAAGCCAATGATTTGGGAGTATAAATTTCAGATTTATCCTTCCATTTAACTTTGATCCATCCGTAAATAATTTCACTCGACTCTGACTTCGAAGTTTGAACTTCATACAATATTCCCTTAAAGGAATATGAGCGTTGAAAGATTCGAGTACGTGTGGTGCTAGGTGCCTACTGATTCCAGCTTTTTGACTACTCTCCAACTGCTTAACAGAGCCAATAAACCACCTTCGATGAAGGCCCCTTATAACCGAATAAAACCACCGACATATTATTTTCCCTTTCTTATCTATTTTACTAGTGGCCGCTGTGGTTTAGTGGTTAGCAGTGCGCACTATGACACCGCAGGGCCTGGGTTCAATGCCCTGGTCAAAGCAACCATCGCAAAAAACTTTGCTTTCTTTACAGTGGTCGCCCCTCGGCTGGCAATGACAAACCTCTGCCATGAAAAAGAGCTTCTCATAAAAATACAAACGCCGTTTGGAGTCGACGAAAAACAGTAAATCTTCAGAAGAGAAGCTCGGCCAAAGACTATAATTATTTTTATTATCTGATTTACTTTCAGCATGGCTTGCTGTTTGGGATTAAGCGCAAGGTAATAGGGATTTTATATTTCCTTATGAAAGGGCTAAGCTCCGTTTTGCAGGGGCTCAAACCTGCCTAGTGTATAATTAACAGACTAGTTTGCTACCAACTTTAGATACATTTGCTTAAATTCTTACTGGGTACCTAAGAATTTTCCCCTAACAATATGATATAATGACCTAACAAAGCAACCATCGGACAGCTCGAACTTTTCGGAGACTCTACTAGGTCGTTGATGGTCCAAAAAATAGAGGCACAATGACTCCCTTTTGTGGGATACCTCTACTCACTATTCTCTGTATTTCGAAGCCCAGTTTGTCAAGGAAGTCTCCGTATCAAAGAATACACCTGCTACGAAACCTTTGCAATCAAGTGTAGAGCTGATCCTACTGATCTCTCGTTGCAGTAAGTTTGCTCTCTAGCAAACGCTCGCTTGGAATTCCTTGTCTAATAGGCAGATCAATTAATCACTCGAAAGTGTTTAAAGGAACTAATGAGAGAGACTGATTGGACTGAAATCCTAAAGAGATATACATATGAGAGACAGTCACAAAATTTAATCCACGTGCTAATATGTATATGTATGTATATTTTTAAGGTATGGCTTCTGAGGCCCAACTAACGGATTTGAAATTGAAAGGTCGAATATCCGAAAATACGTCATTATATGTACATGTGTACATAAGACCGTTTGCATTGATGATCACGATTGTAGACACAGCGTGAGTTTCTTCTTTTCCTTCTAACTAATACTCGCCATAAATGATGAAAAATCTCTGTCTTGCGAATAATTGAGCAACACATCTCTCGAATTTCGGAATAATTTTAGATGATAACTTCGCACATTTAATTAACCACATCATTGAAATATTTTACGCAAACAATCGCACAGATTTGTGAAATAAATGTAGTTCATTGTTAATAATTCAGCAAAATGCTAAATGCAGTGAGTGCGTTGCTATTTTTAGCGAATTGAGGACATAATCTAGTATGTACATTGATTTTTACGGTGTCGTGTATAGTTACATATATTTGTATCATAAGTTTGTTTACGCATTTATGAGAAAAGCACACACATGATGCGAATAACTCCATTAAACGCCAGTAGACCTCTGCAAGCGCAATAAATTAACACTTTCGAAATTTCAACTGTATGTATGTATGTCTCTTAGTTTTTCAGATGACGTTTGCGAAAGATTTTGCCTACTATGGTGCTATGGGTGAGTTTTAAATACCATTGTATCATCGTATATATAACTCAATTCTCATTCTCCTTGAATAGGACCCGATCACTGGGGTGAGCAGTATAGTACGTGCAGTGGCAAACATCAGAGTCCAATCAACATCGATTCGCTTAATGTGATTCGGCGCACCTTCCCGCAACCACTCAAATTCCAATGGTTTCAATTGACGCCCAAAAATGCTGAAATCCTAAATAACGGACACACTGTGGTGGTGCGCCTTGAATACAAAGACGAACGTCCAACCATATCTGGTGGTCCACTTGATGGTTCGTTCGCTTTCGAGCAACTGCACTTTCACTGGGGCGATAATGATACCGTCGGTAGCGAGGATCGCATAAATAATGTCTCATTCCCCGCAGAGTTGCATATGGTTTTTAGAAATACGAAGTATCAAACATTTGGCGAAGCGGCAAAGCATAGTAATGGTGTGGCAGTTTTGGCATATTTTTACAAAGTAAGTAATTAGTATTGCATGGGTAATCGAAAAAAGGAGCAATCGTTACGTTTATTATTCTTATTGCAGATAACAGAAGATGATAATTCTGATTATACCGAATTCACTGAGCTGCTACAGCATGTCATCAAACCAAATTCGGTAGCCAAGTTCGTCGATCCGCCAAATCTATGGGATTTCGTAAACGTCTATATGGAGTATTATACCTATGTAGGATCGTTAACCACGCCGCCTTGCAGTGAGGATGTGACTTGGATTGATTTTAAGGAACCAGTTGGCATATCAACCAAACAGGTTAGTTAGTATTTGGCGAGTAATTAATCGACGGATATGCTTTGTGCTTAGTTAGATGAAAAATAAGTATCTACTAGTAAGAAGATTTTGATGCAATGTAGCAATAAGCGGTCCACTGTTCCACTGTTACCAGCATCGCGATCCAACATTATATGCTTTCAGAACTGGGACGTTTCTGCCCTTTCGCACGGCATGGTCAAGCTAGCGGAGCCGCTTTATTTTAATTCGCCGCATTATGTTCATGTCATTAGACAGCTCATACAGCTCATCGTTTCTTCGTCTGCGGTATTTGCCATCGCCAACGCGCAGAATATTTCGCTACAAAACTCCAAAAGCCGGCTCATCAGATGTTTGCATTGTCCATGCTTCCACGTCATACACCAGCACCTGCATGACGAATAACTTATAGCGTGTGATTTTTGTACTTATGCAAAGTAGCACTTGTTGTCAAAGGCGACGCTGCGTCGGACTTCGAGCAAGTTTGCTATCTTTAAGCCGCGAACTTGTTATTTAGACCTCGCTTTTCCTATCGACTACCATCTCAAGCTCTTTGTACTCTCATGTTTCGGCGGCCCCTCTCAAAGCTCACAACGTGGCATGCCTCCTCGTACCAATTGTTCTTTGGAGTTCGCTGAAATCAAAATACCTTTGATGAGACTGTAAGACGTTTCATCCCTTTATTTCTTCATAGCATAGGCGTAAATGATCGATATGTTAACGGATCTCGGTTAGAGCTGGCGCGCTGCTCATCCACCGAAGATTAATGACGATACTTGGCAATAAAATCTCTTTCTCACCACAAATTTAATAGCAAGTTTTCAGCTCTTTACGTGTCAGCAGTAGTAGGCGTCGCCAGCTCCTTTAATTATCCTACTTTTCGCAGTCCGACGTATTTCCTAGAAAACGGTAATGTTAGACTTAGTCTTACCCAGAACCAGAGCCAGCCGCGCAGAAAATATGGCTCATTTATGTAAGCCACATTGTCCCAGTTTGTTCGAATATTTATTTCAATTCTGTTTATTTTTTTTACTATATTTTCATCTTTGTTTTAATTTTTCGCTTATTCTCTAATCTTCCCACACACTCTTACCATCTCTAGATTGAGCATTTTCGACGCCTGCACTCGCACGAAAACACGCCATTGACTCACAATTTCCGTCCACTGCAGCCGCTCAATGATCGCACCGTCTTTTACTCGCTTCCAGTACCGGACCTCGATGACCCCGCCATGGATGCAAATAGTGCAATACCCTTTGTTGATAATTTGGCTGGTGGCGCATCCATGCGGAAGCCTATTGAAATCAATTTCATGGTCATAATGCTGATATTAACTAGTTTAATAACCACAACAAAGGCAGCGGCATGTTTAGCTTAAGTAAGCAAAGAAAATACTTAGTTAGATATTGTAATATGAAGTGGCTTGTATTGCCTATTAATTTCATGGTTATTATGTACTTGTCCATTTGGTCGATTTTTATGGCCTATATGTAAGCCATATGTATGTATGTGCATATGTGCGTATATTAGAGAACGCGTACCACGCGTAAAAACATAATTTAATACAACGCCATCGAATTGTTAATTAANTTATTCTCTAATCTTCCCACACACTCTTACCATCTCTAGATTGAGCATTTTCGACGCCTGCACTCGCACGAAAACACGCCATTGACTCACAATTTCCGTCCACTGCAGCCGCTTAACGATCGCACCGTCTTTTACTCGCTTCCAGTACCGGATCTCGATGACCCCGCCATGGATGCAAATAGTGCAATACCCTTTGTTGATAATTTGGCTGGTGGCGCATCCATGCGGAAGCCTATTGAAATCAATTTCATGGTCATAATGCTGATATTAATTAGTTTAATAACCACAACAAAGGCAGCGGCATGTTTAGCTTAAGTAAGCAAAGAAAATACTTAGATAGATATTGTAATATGAAGTGGCTTGTATTGCCTATTAATTTCATGGTTATTATGTACTTGTCCATTTGGTCGATTTTTATGGCCTATATGTAAGCCATATGTATGTATGTGCATATGTGCGTATATTAGAGAACGCGTACCACGCGTAAAAACATAATTTAATACAACGCCATCGAATTGTTAATTAATACTATCTATAATATCTGTAATTAATTGTATTTGAAAGGTAATTTTCCCAAATTAGATTTACACACATACTTATAGTAAATATGTATAAGCATTATGGTGTTTAACCAAATTATAATTAAGTTATTTTTTTCACATAAAGAGATATGTATGCAAGTACGTGTAAAGAATGAATTTTATTATAAAAGTAATAGTATTGTGATTTATAATAAAAGAAATACAAATCCATAAAAATAACAGCTGTAAGCCCTTCGGAAAGGGTATACGTAATTTCTATTAGATTTTCAATAGCCAAAATAAAGCTGGTATGTACATTAGAGTGCCTCACCGAAAAAAGTTGCACGAACATTCCACGAAAATAGGTGTTTATGATATATGTATATCACTGCGAAACACAAAGAAAAACCTAGAGTGCACATATGTCAGGTTTAATAGCTGTTGCCCATACGAATAATGCCTCTCACTCAGATTTACTAGATTAATTCGTGTTCTCCAGGAAACAAATTTTCATGATGCAAAAATCTGAGTATAGCGGCCAAATTTTTTTCTCCAAATTTTGAAAATGTATGGTTTTTTTTTGTCCATTTTTGTTGAAAATAGCATGCAAAGCAAATATATGCCAAAAAACGATGGATTTTCAAAATTTGGAGAAAAAAAAATTGGCCGCTATACTCAGATTTTTGCATCATGAAAATTTATTTTTGCTCGAGAACAGGAATGATCTAAAAAAAGTAAGTATTAGGTATAATTCGTATGGTCAAAAACTATCAAACCTGCAAAATTTTTTAAGTTCATTTTTGTTCCATAGTGTATTACAAAAAAAAAAATTATTTAGCGTTCTTTCAGCGGAAATGTATTTTAAATATATCTATAAGTTAGCATAGTAAACGACCTTTCAATTAATTTTACGTAAAAATATATCTTTTTAACAACAACAACAACAATGATTACAAAAAATTAATAAAGCATTATCAATAATTTTCATCTCTGGACATCAACGAGCCTATAATCGAATTAGTTGAATTTCACGAAATATCCGTAAATGGGCGTGAAATGACATGCAAAAATTATACTTTAGACAGCCTCAGCATCAACTATAATTCTTTAAACCGTTTTGAAATAAATATATTTTTGAAACTTTCGTGATTATAATTACCATTCATAGATGTTGGTGCTACCAAGCTTTATTTTTGTACCTACGATGGAAAGCTCCTGCAGTTTTTCCACCGGAATTATAAAATGTATTAAATTTTTAGCCTTTCGCTAAAATATTTCGGGAAAATATTTAAATAAATAATAAAATTTGTAAACATTTTTATGCAAACCTTTTAAGCTTAAACTTTTCTATCATCTGACGTGACTTTTTGGAAAAAATATTTTTAAACACTACTTCAATAAGAATTTTTAAAGTTTTTTTAATACAGTACTTCGCCTTAAAAAACAACCCCTATGGTACCTACAATCATGATAAAAACATAGCAAGGTATAACCGTTCTCTCAATTTGTCG